GCCCAATTCAGAAAATCCAAGGAAGTTTCGGAGCGGCGATGTAGTGTAACATCAAATATACCAGATCTTATCCTCACCATGCCGCCACGTCCCGCTAGCTCCCCAGAGGGGTGCCGTATGTCCACTACGTGGCATGGTCTTATGGCTCGGGATCTCAACATGATCGAGCAACCCGCTTTCTTGTTCGTATAGCGGCCTCTCTCCCACCCGTACTCGTATACAATGTGATGCTGTGTGCGTCGCATCGTAATCGGATGCCGTAGTTTCTGTCGTTGGGTCGTCGCAGGGCACACTCTGACGTCTGCAAGCTTTAGCGTATCCGAAACATCCTCGGCCCTCCACGTGTCAGTCAGATGCAGAGGGTTGTACAACACAAAAGTCAAGAGAGAGTTCCACATGATAATGGTCGGAAGATGTCGGAAGTGTGTGAGTAAATCTGGATGAGCCCCCCCTGGCTCGGGAGCGGTAGGGGGAAAATCTCCGACAGGCGGGGGCGGCCCTGTGCGCGCGGGAGCCTGGGCAAAGGGCTCGAGGCCGAGGAGGAAAGAGGAGGACAGCGAGGGGAAAGGACGACGAGGACGAGGAAAAGGAGGCGCTGTCGACGCGCTTTCGCGCGTCGACTCCGACGCGCAGCGGCGCCCGGCGGTCGCGTGCGCGCAGCGGTCCTGGTCCGCTAGCGCTCGTCGACGATGACCTCGTCGGCCGTCGACACCGCCGGCGCGCAGCAGAAGCCCTGGCCCGGGGGGGGGGGCTGGGGCGGCGCCGCCGCGCGCAGCCGCATGGAGAGCTCCAAGAAACGCAACCATGAGTTAGCGACGCGTGGGTCAGCAGCAGGTTCCGCTTTCGTGCAGGATCGGCGCTCTCCTTCGACAAAGGAGGCGGCACGGGCCTCATGTTTCGGGGGTGCCTTCCCCGTTCCATGGACCTGGCGCCAACTCTCGAAGAGCGTGAAAGGGGGGGAGTCCTCCTTCCGCCTCCTCCTGCCCTCCTCCTCCCCTCTTCCTCCCTCCTCTTCTTTTGCAAAATGTTCGACACAGGAAAAGTCGGGTCCTAGTCAGAAGACAGTGGTGAGCAGACGCAGCCTGCGGACCAACTCGTTCAAGTTCGGGCTGCACTCCGCTTGGAGCCATCTTCTGGAAAATCAGACTAACCTGCATCGGTCAGGTCAACCAATCCATTCCTTTTTTAACCGGAGACTCTCGGGCTCAGGGAGCTCGTCAAAAAAACTCCCTCTTCTTCTTACTATTATTATTCCTCTGCCTCCCCCAGTGCGAATTAAATTCAGAAGCAGCCCATACTCGGTTGGACCCAACTCAAGCCAGGTCGCACTCGAGTCAAGCTGATGCAGATCACTTGGACTGCGGTCGACTCTCATGTGGAAATCGGTGCGCTTCAAATTCAAGGCGACATCCGTCCCAAGTCGGAACAATACCAAAACACGGCACCGCGAAACCCTCAACCCTCGCCAACGCGACACATCATGACACGATGACGCCAGTGCGAACCCACATCGCTAGACCACGACACTTTTCACCAACGGCGCCGCGGTAGCCTGGCACCACGACAGCGCGACGAGACACAATGATCTCACACGACGCCGCTGAGCGACGACACGGCGCTGCGGCACCGGGACACCGCCGCAGCGCGACGCCCCGACGGCCCGACACCACGACACGGGCGACGCGGTGCACAACATACCGCAGGGCAGCACAGTGCTGGTGGACCCCGCCTGGGCAAGAGCGGTAGCAGCAGAACGAGTGGTGTCCGGGAGCTCCTCGCAGCCTGACCCAGCCCTCGGTGTATTACCGATCTCAACCACTTTTAGCTGGAGACGCGTTTCGGACTCTAGGTCTTCTTCTGGGCCAAAAGGCTGCGGTGTCACACGCGCGTGCCGTGCAGCGCGCGAGCAAGGCAGCAAGAGGTCAAGAGTGCGGGGGTGAACAAAAACCGGCTGCCCACCCACCCTACCTAGGCCAACCCTACCTAGCCTAAATGTGCCAACTGGACAAGAGTGGTGTCCGGGAGCTCGTCACACCCTGACCCAACCCTCACGCGCGACAAAAACTCGAAATCCTAAACCCGGCCTCCTGGTCCAAGCTGCGCCCCCCCCAGCCAAATCTCAAATGTCAAGTCTAAACGGAAGACGGGGAAGGGGGAAGAAGAGAGAAGGGGGGAAAGCGGATGAGGGAAGATGGAGGACAGAAAACAATGCAGGGGGCAGCAGGAGGCAAGGAAGAAGGAGGAGAAGAAGGGAAGAGGCAAAGCGTAAGACAAAATCTCTGTCTGCGTGGTGGATCACTTCGAATCCGCAACCCGCATCGCAGGTAATTAATGAATCGTCACTGAAAACGACGTCACTTGAAAAATATGCTGCAAACATGATCGACCCACGAACCCGGAAAGGAGTATAGAAATGTAAGGCATGGCGGCGTTTCAAAGACACCTGATTGGGAGACGGGCAAATGCAATGCTGAGTGTATCGATCTTGATGTACCGTGCTGAGGGCTGTGCTGTGCTGCGCCGTGCTGCATTGCAATGCGCCATGCCCCGATTGCGCTCTACAGCGTTGTGGATCGAGTCCTCCTTTGCATCCAAGTCCTGACCGATCTGATCTGGATCTTAAGCTCGAGCTGCCTGAGCACATAGAAGCTGCCCAAGAGCTCATTGACAGGGGGACATGCTAATTAGGAGGACGCGCCGCGGAACGTCCCAAGGGACGCGCCAAGCGACGGGCAAGGGGATGTGCCATGGGGACGCACCGCGAGACGTGCCAAAGGGACGCGCTACGGAACGTGCCAATGGACGTACCACGGGACGTGCCAGGGGGACGCACTGCGGGACCTGCCAAAGGGACGCGCTACGGAACGTGCCAATGGACGTGCCACGGGACGTGCCAGGGGACGCGCCGCGCGACATACCAGGGGGACTCGCCACGGGACGCGCCACGGAACGTGCCAAGTTGCAATGTTGAGTGCATCGATCTTGATGTACCGTGCCGAGGGCTGTGCTGTGCGGCGCCGTGCTGAACTGCGATGTGCCATGCCGCGATTGTGCTCTGGATAACGTTGTGGATCGAGTTCTCCCTGGCATCCGAATCCTGACCGAACTGATCTGGATCTTAAGCTCGAGCTGCCTGAGCAGATGGTAGCTGCCCCAGAACTAATCGACAGAGGGGACATGCCAGGAGGGCGCGCCGCGGAACGTCCCAAGGGACGCACCAGGCGACGCGCCAGGGGACGTGCCATGGGGACGCAACGCGGGACCTGCCAAGGGGACGCGCTACGGAACGTGTGCCAATGGACGTGCACCGCGCGACGTGCCAGGGGGACTCGCCACGGGACGCTCCGCGGAACGTGCCAGGCAACATGCCAGGCTGCAATGCTAAGGGTATCGATATTGATGCACCGTGCCGAGGGCTGTGCTGTGCCTGGGCGACCTGGACACGTCCACGTGTTCTCTTATGCTCTACACGGCAGACGGAGACAGTGCGGCGCTGGCAGAATATCCCTGGGGAGATATGCTGCCCCGTGTCCAGATGATGAACTTCTGCGCCACCTGCGATGAATCATCACCATGAAAACTGGTTGCCACCAGCACCGCGCACGAGAAACATGCAAGGACCTGCTGTCAAGAACGGAAAAAAAGACACGATCGTTCGACAGGTTTCCATAATGAGCTTCGTCGTGCAAAAAAACACTTGCTCATCAATTATTATGCAACGTATGTCACATGCAACCGAAAGCCACGTTGGACTCAAGGCGTTCACTTATAACTTACAAGGGTTGGACAAGAAGGAGAGACAGGAGAGGCGAGATAAGAGGAGGAGGAGGAGGGAAAGGAGGAGGAGGAGGAGGACAGCGGAAGGGCACAGCAATGCAGAGAGCACACGACCAGCCCGCCAGCCATCTACAGGCCGGTGGACCGGCACAGCGGTGGGCGGACCTCACCGAAGCCACGGGCAGCGTGCGGACGCCTGCGGCAAGGCCGTGGCGTGAGTAAAGAATGCCAGCCGGAAGGAAGAACTGCCTAAGCGGGCACGAGCGCAGGCCTCCTCCGAGGCCCTCGCCGGGCTCTCCGCGGCCCGCGCCGCACGGCCCGGCGCGCCGGCGCCGCGCCCCTCCCCCCGCCCCCGACCCTGGCCCTGGCGTGCGGGCCTCCGTCAAGAGGGAAAGAAGCACATATCTTTGGAGTCATTTGTGACTCCCCCTGTATGGGGGACACGCCCGCCACAAATCTCGGGGCCCCCGCGCTCGCCTTGGAGGCTGGGCGGGGGCTGGCAAATCCGTGGCTGCTGGAACGGCCTTCCCGGAAAAGGAAAGAACAGATTCCCGGGATCGAGCTCAGCGCACTGAACATTTAGTAAACGGGCTGCTTGCCGCGCCGGCGGCAAATTAATGGTGCGATTTCTCCTTCGCAGCGGTGGCAAAGGTACTTCGTGGCGATCCAAGGCCCACTCATGTGGGAGGCATGAGTGAAAGTCTTGCATGCACATCACTTAGGATACCAGGCTCAGCCTGGCTCAGCCTGGTACCAGCGCGCGTCAGAACGCCAGAACAGGCGCGTCGGGGCCGCCTGGCGTCAGAGCCGGCAACCATGGCAGGCTGGGCACTCGCCGACAGCCAGCCGCGAGGAGCAGCGCCCCCGCCTCTGTGCCTTGGCGGTCGCCCTCGAGGATCACTTACGCCCCCAAAGGAAAAAACAACGAATTCGCAGCGAGCCGTCCATGCGCGCTCTTGCATCACCCAATGATTGGTTTGTTGATTCGCGCGGCTGGGCATCCAGTGGCAAAGATTCGAGCACGAGCACGATTGCCTCTGAGCTTGCGAAAACAGGCTCGTCGACACGGGAGCCTACGTTTGGCTGCGAAGCATCTCGCGTCTCAACGACGAACATCCCCTCCCCTTTCCCAATCTCCCTCTGGCAGCCCCCCGACGAGGAGGGGCGGCGGCGGCGGCGGCGGCGGCCCCGCCGCCTCTCTGCCGCGCCCGGGCGCGCCGCCGCCGCCGCGCTCACTGCGGCGCGCCGCCGGCCGCGGCGGCGCGCTCGAGGCCGCCGAGCAGCGCGCGGTCGAGCCGGAGGAGCAGCTCCGGGAGCTGCGCGCCCTGGGCCCAGAAGTGCCGCCACCGGGCCTGGACCTCCTCGAGCTGGGCGGTCGCCTCGGCCGCGTCCTCCGGGCACCGCAGGAGGCCGCAGCGGGTGAGCGCCTCCCGCGTGGCCGCGTCCACGACGGGCGCCGCGGCGATGAGGTAGGTCTGCCTGCACCCGTCGTGCTCCGAGGCAAGGCGCGCGAGGCGCGCCTGGAACCTCTCCGACTGGAGGCTGCCCACGACCTCCCGCTGGAGGGCCTCGAAATCGGCCGCCGACATGTCGTCCCAGCTCATGAGGGCGGGCCTCGTGGCCTGCTGCGCCGGAGGGGTGCCCTTGCCGGCCCTGGCCCTGGAGACGGCGGTCTCCTCCAGGTGCGCGCTCAGGAGCTCCACGCTCGGGTAGTCCAGGACCACGGTGGGGTTCAGCCTCCGGCCGAGCTCCGTCCCGATCATGCTCGAGAGCTGGGAGACCTCCATGGAATCGAGGAAGTCCATGAACGGCTGCGTGATGTCGTCCTCCGGCGCCAGCTTCCGGCAGAGGCCCTCGATCAGCCCGCGCACCCCGCCGCCCGGCAGCGGCGCCGCCTCCTCGCCATGAGCGCCCGGAGGGGTGCCCTTGCCGGCCCTGGCCCTGGAGACGGCGGTCTCCTCCAGGTGCTCGCTCAGGAGCTCCACGCTCGGGTAGTCCAGGACCACGGTGGGGTTCAGCCTCCGGCCGAGCTCCGTCCCGATCATGCTCGAGAGCTGGGAGACCTCCATGGAATCGAGGAAGTCCATGAACGGCTGCGTGATGTCGTCCTCCGGCGCCAGCTTCCGGCAGAGGCCCTCGATCAGCCCGCGCATCCCGCCGCCCGGCAGCGGCGCTGCCTCCTCGCCATGAGCGCCCTGGTCATCGGCCGCCACTGGGGCCGGCTGCAGCAGAGGCCGACCGAGGGAGGCCCTGTCGAGGACGTTGTAGCGGATCAGAACGCCGTAGCCGAAGTTGGCGACGTCCTTGTGGCGGTAGTTCGGCACCGCGAACCTCACCCGCGCGCCCGCGTCCATGTGGAAGCCTGTGACGGTGCCGTCCCGCGCGTGGCCCGCGGCGACGCGGTCGATGTAGTCCTCCATCTCCGCGGGGCTGCCGCCGCGGAAGTCGGAGGCGCGGGTGACGGCCACGACCCCCTCGACGGTGGGGTCCAGGCACGCCAGGTGCAACGCGAAGTTCCTGAGCTTGTTCCCCACGCCAGGCTCGCTCGAGGCGATCGCGAGCAGCTGGACGAGCTTGCCGGCTGGCCTGTGGTGGAGATGGGTGCCCTCGTACTGCATCTGGAGGACGTCGGTCTCCTCATCGATCCGCTGCATCCACAGCGCGGCCACCAAGCGGCCGTCCTCCTTCGTGGCCACGAGGACCGTCTCGGGGGTGGTCCTCAGCCTCGCGCGCATCGCGAGCTCCGTCGCGCGGAGGTTGGGTGCCCAGCACTGCTGCTCCAGGGCCATCAGCTCCGGGTAGTCGGCCTGCTCCGCCAGCCGGATGCGGAACGGCTGCAGCTTGAGGCACTGGCTCAGTGCGGCGCAGTGCCCCGCGCCCGCGTCCCGCGCGGACACCTCCTTCAGCAGCTCCACCGAGTCGGGGACGAGCCCCGCCATGGCCGCCGCCAGGGCCAGCGCCGGCGCCGGCACCAGCGCCCCGCCCCCCAGGCCGTGCGCCAGGTCCCCGCAGAGCGGCGCGCCCCTCGCGAAAGACTGCCGCAGCGCCCGCGAGCTCAGCGCCGTGGGGTCCTGGCAGCAGAGCCCCGCGGTCGCGCCCAGCCTCGGGCCGAAGCGGTCCTCCAGGCGCTCCACCAGGGCGGCGAACACGGCGCACGGCGAGGTGGGCCGCCCCTCGGGGCCCAGGTTCGGCAGGCCCCCGAGCGCGCCCCGCGCGAAGGCGCCCGCGGTGCTGGCCTCGTCCAGCGGCCTCCTCGGCGGCGCGGCCAGCTCCTCGCCGCACAGCAGGGGACCAGCGTCTCCTGGGGCGACGCGCGGGCCTTCGCCAGGGCGGTCAGGAGCTGCTCCGCGGAGCTGGTGCCGCCGACGACCACCTTGAGCCAGGGCTGCTGGTTCGCCCGCTTCAGCGCCGCGCCCTGTGCCTTGTCGGCCGCCACAGCGACGGCCGTCAGCGGGAAGGCGTCCAGCAGGGCCCCGCGCTGCGTGCACCGCTGCACGTGCTTCCGCACGGCGGCCAGCAGCGCCCCCGCGCCCTCGCCTGCCGCCACGAGGAAGCGCGGCTGCGCCTTGAAGGGCCCGGCGTTGAACACGGCGCGCACCTGGCGCAGCAGGTCCGGCATGCACAGCACGTGCTGCGCGCCGTCGGGGACTTCCGCCGCCGGCACGCCGGGCGGCGCGCCGGGCGGGCCGCACGGCACGGGCAGCAGAGGCGCCAGCGGCGCGAGGGTGCCGCAGAAGGACCACAGCTCCTCCCAGCCGCGCGGCGTCAGCCCCACGCGGCCCGCGGAGTCCAACTCGCCGAGGTCGAGCAGCTCGTCCAGCACGCCCTCCAGGCCCGCCTGCAGCGGGCGGCCCAGCCCGCCGAAGTCCAGCCGCCGCCCCGCCGCCGCGAAGCGCCCCGCCGCCGCGAGCAGGGGCGTCAGCACGGCCCCGTCCAGCACCAGCCCCAGCGCGCGGGAGCCCGCCCAGGCCCGGCGCGCGCCCCACGCCTCCAGGCACGCGCCCAGCAGGTCGGAGGGCGAGCCGCCCCGGAGCATGGCCGAGTGGACGTTCCTGAGAGCCTTCGCGACTGGAGATCCTGGCTTCAGCACCTCGGTCAGCTCGCAGAACTCCTCGCCGCCGCTGGCACGGCAGGTGCCCGCAAGGGCGTCGACGGACACGAAGCCGAGGACGTCGCAAGCCCGCAGTGCGGCCGAGAACAGCCCCGACTCCACCTCAGAGTCCCGCGCGAGGTCCTCCAGCGCCCGCAGGCCGCCGGGCGCCAGCCCGCCCGCGAGCTTGTCCACGAATTCGAGCAGCAGCGGCGCGGCCGCGCACCCCTGCACGAGCCCGAACGCCACGGCCGGCAGTCTGGAGCCGCGCCGCAGCGCCAGCCACCGAGCGCCGACCGGCACGGCCTCGTCGAGCGCGGGAGACGACGGCGAGGAGGTGAGGTCCTGGGGCGCGCAGGCCCTGCCGCCGCTCGCCGCCCAGGGCTTCTGGCCACGGTGGGGGCCTTCGTCGCCCGCGGGCGACGGGTGCAGGTGGCCCAGCAGGCTCGGCGTCGGCGCCGCGCCGCGCTGCTCCGCGAGGCCCACCACGGGCGGCGCGCTGCTGCCGGGCGGCGGGAGGGATGGCAAAACCGCGGTGGCCATGGGTCGATACCGATGCGGGCGGAGCTGCTGGCGGCAAATGACTAAAACTTGCTCCAAAAAAACGGCTTGAGCCAAAATGGCTACGGATGGGCGACCTGGACACGTGAAAACACGCGTTTCGCTCAAGACGTTCTCAGCACATCCTCATGCTAGACATCCGCCTGGGCAACTTGGAAACGTGCAAACAAGCGTCTCGATCGAGACTTCCTCGACGCATCCTCATGCTAGACATCCGCCTGGGCGACCTGGACACGTGAAAACAAGCCTCTGGTTCGAGACATCCTCAACAAATCCTCATGCTAGACATCTGTTCTGGGCAACCTGGAGGCGTGAAACCAAGCGTCTCAAAACCTGGTCACGTGAAAACAAGCATTTCACTTGAGAGATCCTCTGAATTCTGGTCCCCAGGAGAGGACAATCTATAGCACAAAACAAGCGTTTCCCTCGAGACATCCTCAACACATTCTGAAACAAAAACAAGCGTTTCGCTTGAGACATCCTCAAACATGATTCCGCCGGCCCTAGGCGACCTCGTATTTATCGCAAAATAATTTCGCCGGCCCTACAGCCGTCGATTCCGGGGGTAAACAGCTAAAAGAGAACCCTGGGCCAACGCCCTGTCCGGGAAACATGATCGACCCACGAACCCGGAAAGGAATATAGACATGTAAGGCATGGCAACGTTTTCAAAGACACCTGATTGGGCGACGGGTACATGCAATGCTGAATGTATCGGTGATGATGTACTGTGCCGAGGGCTGTGCAGTGCTGCGCCGTGCTGAACTGCGATGTGCCATGCCGCGATTGTGCTCTATATAGCGTTGTGGATCGAGTCCTCCCTGGCATCCGAGTCCTCTCCGAACTGATCTGGAGCGTAAGCTCGAGCTGCCTGAGCAGATGGTAGCTGCCCCAGAGCTAATCGACAGAGGGAACATGCCAGGAGGACGCGCCGCGGAACGTCCCAAGGGACGCGCCAGGCGACGTGCCAGGGGACGTGCCATGGGGACGCACCGCGGGACGTGCCAAGGGGACGCGCTACGGAACGTGCTAATGGACGTGCCGAGGGACGTGCCAGGGGACGCGCCGAGCGACGTGCCAGGTGGACTCGCCACGGAACGTGCCAAGGAACGTGCCAAGGTGCATAGTTGAGTGTATCGATCTTGATGTACCGTGCCGACGGCTGTGCTGTGCTGGGCCTTGCTGAACTGCGATGTGCCATGCCGCGATTGTGCTCTATATAGCGTTGTGGATCGAGTCCTCCCTGGCATCCGAGTTCTCACCGAACTGATCTGGATCGTAAGCTCGAGCTGCCTGAGCAGATGGTAGCTGCCCCAGAGCTAATTGACAGAGGGAACATGCCAAGAGGACGCGCCGCGGAACGTCCCAAGGGACGCGCCAGGCGACGTGCCAGGGGACGTGCCATGGGGACGCACCGCGGGACATGCCAAGGGGACGCGCTACGGAACGTGCCAATGGACGTGCACCGCGCGACGTGCCAGGGGGACTCGCCACGGGACGCTCTGCGGAACGTGCCAGGCAACATGCCAAGCTGCAATGCTAAGGGTATCGATATTGATGTACCGTGCCGAGGGCTGTGCTGTGCCTGGGCGACCTGGACACGTGAAAGCACGCGTTTCGCTCAAGACGTTGTCAGCACAGCCTCGTGCTAGACATCCGCCTGGGCAACCTGGACACGTGCGAACAAACGTCTTGCTCGAGACATCCTCAACAAATGCTCATGCTAGACATCCGCCTGGGCGACCTGGACACGTGAAAACAAGCCTCTGGTTCGAGACATCCTCAACACATCCTCATGCTCGACATCTGTCTGGGCCACCTGGAGGCGTGAAACCAAGCGTCTCGCTCGAGAGATCCTCAAGACCTGGGCACGTGAAAACAAGCAATCCACTTGAGAGATCCTCAGAATTCAGGTCCCCAGGAGAGGACCATCTATAACACAAAACAAGCGTTTCGCCCGAGACATCCTCAACACATGCTGAAACACAAGCGTTTCGCTCGAGACATCCTCACATTTTAATTCGCCGGCCCTACGCGACCTCGTTATTTATCGCACCAGAAATTCGCCGGCCCTACAGCCGTCAGAACCGGGGGTAAACCCACTAAAAGAGAACCCTGGGCTCGAGCCCTTTCCGGGGAAAATGAATCACCGAAAAAAATCGGAGCGCGGAATGGACCGTGGCCCTCCGTCGCCATCGGAAAACGAAGGCTCCACCGTGGAATCCTCGCGCCCTAGCCCAGCCCGCCAGTTACGGTAAACAGCGACCGGTCGGGGTTTAACTCCCGCGAGACGAAAATATTACCAGCGTGCTCTGGCGTACCAGGGACACCCCATCAGGACAATCGGGGCTCCAGAACGGCCCATATGCTCGCCGCGCGCGCCCTCAATCATCCGTGAGCCTGACCGTACACGGACAAGAAGTCCGAGCCCTGCGGCGCAAGATGCCCCCCAGACCCCCCAGAGTAATATTGAAGGCGCGGCAGTGGAGGGGGCTTGGGTGGACAAACATAGTCGAACCCCCAAACCATCAGCCATGCTAAAATCAACGGTGACTTCGGGAGCGGAGGGGGATTAACATCCTCCTCAATCGTGCGAATGTTCAAACAGTTTGTCCATGCACTGAAGCACGAGAGAACACCAGTACCACATGAGTCCACCGACCTCAAGAATTTCGCTGCCTCGCAGGTCCAGCCGCGGGCCAGCCACTCCAGGCGGAGGAGGAGTAAATTATGCAACAGCAAGACATTTTGGCGAATGCCGCTATGAGGGCATCTAGCTGTCGGGGCAGAGTTAAAGGGCGCCCGTCTTGATGGAGGAACATGACCTTACCATCGTGGGGTGTCCATACATATGTGTGTAAACAGATGATATATACACATACATACATATACATACATACATACATACATACATACATACATACATACATACATGCATACACACATGCATGCATGCATGCATACATACACATACATACATACACACATACATACATACGTAGGTACGTACGTACGTACATACGTACATACACATATACATACATACACACATATACATACATCCATCCATACATACATACATTACAATACATTGCATTCCATTACAATACAGTACATTATATTACATTACATTACATTACGTTACAATACATTCCATTCCAATACAGTACATTACATTACATTACATTACATTACATCACATTACATTGCATTGCATTGCATTGCATTGCATTACATACAAACATACATACTTACATACATACATACATACATACATAAAAACACCCATACAAACATACATACATACATACATACATACATACATACATACATACATACACACATACATACATACATACATACATACATACATACATACATACATACATACATACATACATACACATGCACATACATACATACATATATACATACATACGTAAATACCTACTTACGTGCGTACGTACATACATATATACGTACGTACACCTATATATATATATATATATATATATATATTCAAATAAATTCGAATTGGCCTTGGCGGGTTTGCGTGGACCCCCGGATCCCCGGGCTCCCCGGGGGCTCCAAAACGGCACCGGAAGGCCCACGGAGGGGTCCGAAACGGCGTCGGAGTTCCCCAGAAAAACCCAGGACGGCTTACGGAGGCCCCGAGACGACCCAAGACGGCTTTCAGGCGGCCCAAGATGTTCTCCAGACGGCCCCATACGCCCCAAAGACGCCCCCGGACGGCTCCGGGGGGGTCCGAGGGCTCCCCCAGGAGGGCTCCATCAAGCAAAAATGGCCACATTCCCTTCGTAAAATGCCCATGTTCAACAGATTCGACATTTTCCTTTACGAAGCGTCCAAGACAGCCCCAGAGGCCTGCAAGATTGCCCAAGACGGCCCCCAAGAGGGCCCAAAGATGGCTCAGACGGCCCCAGGACGGCCCAAGGGGCGCCCAAGACGGCCCAAGAGGACCCCAACAGGTGCCCAAAAGGGGCCCAAGAGAGCCCAAGATGGCCCCAAGACGGCCCAAGTGGCGCCCAAGGTGGCCCAAGACGGCCCCAAGACGGCCCAAGAGGCGCCATACACGGCCCAAGAGGGCCCCGAGGAGCCCCCAAGAGGCCAAAAAGAGCCCCCATAGAGCTCCCAAACGGCCCCCTAGAGGCTTCAAAACTGCCTCCAAGAGAGAGGGCCGGACGAGAGGCGAGAGGCCCTTCGCAGGCGAAAAAGAACAACGTTTTACACTCCCGTGGCCTTGGCGCTGCCCGTCTGCGCTCCCTATTTTGCCGCGACGCCGTTCCGACGCTTCCGACGCGGCCCGAGACGGCGCCGCGATTGACCCGACCCGCTCCCGCGTCCGCCGCGATCCCGACGCGTATCTTCCAACGCTGCTCTGGCTTGGTCTCTTGAACTTTTGCCTCTTGCGAAGCTCGAACACTTCGGCCCCCGCTTCGGTGCATTGGGGCCGCTCAGTGGGGGAACAGCACCAGAACTAGCTTCACAGGATCTACGGCAGTAGCTGGCAGCGTCGCACAACCCAGCACTCGCAACCAAACTTCGATCCGCGCAACTCCGTGGATTTAATCCACGGGTCCACACTAGTATATATATATGTGTATATATTCATAATCCAAAAAGGGTGGGATCCCCCCCAAAGAGAAACGGGACCCTCGGATCCGTGGCCCCGGGGGCCCCCTGGACGCCCCTGCAGGAGGCCCCCCCAAGCTCTTCAGAGCTCCTGAGAACCCCTGCTGGGCCTAGGCAAGCGAGCGCGACCGATCGTAAACCACTTCGGACCGATCGCAACCAGTTGCGATCGGTCCGAAGTGGTTGCGGTGTTTTTGGGTCGTTTCCATAAGGTTTTGATGAAAGAAGGGATCATGAGAGCGCTTCTGGGTTCAATGAGTTCCCTTAAGCCGCCCGATGGGAATCTGGAAAAGCAGTTGCGATCGGTCCGATCACAGACGGCTGATCATAATCTCAGCTAAACACATGCTTTGGAGCTCGAACGTGGCCATGATACGTATACGATTCCTATGTGATTCGTATACGCCTGAAACCGAAACTGAGC